TCTACAAAAAATCCCCTCGTCGAAATTTTCCAGCTTTCATTCTCGCAGGGATATCGACAGAATAGTTTCAATGAAAATTGTGACACTCACCCATTGCTCTGACAGGATTCTCCCACTCTGCTCAGCTGTGTTCACATAACACGAGTGTTGTCAACAGTATTCCATTAATTTCTCACTCACTGACACATGTTTTGTTCGGATATAGCCACGAGTTTCACACGCATCCGATAGCCAAGACGAAAACGAAAAATAAGAGAACAATCGCGTGCTATCCACAGTTTCCCAGAACTCCGCGTATTCCTCAACTCCCAAACAAAAGCGCAACCCCAAAGTGAGATTATTTTATTACCTCGGAATGCCTTGTTAATCCGAAACAATTGAACAGGAATAACGGATCAAAACAAAATGAAACTGTCAGTCAAATGGATAAATCGAAGTGTCTGTTCCATTGAATTTTCACATTGAACCGTTGAGACGACGCGAAGACATTTTTATTTGAAAGAAGACTGGCAGCACCGGCATGACGAACGTCTAGAGTCCCTCCTTCTGATAGGCCTGTCATCGCCGATTTATCCTGACGATTAGTGATTTGTGTTGAATTGGTTGAGAGTTTGAAGATACATCTTGAGGAGTTATGGATGAAATTATCGAGGACAGATTAATCAATAATGCAATTTGTGAAGAAACAACACGACAATGGGTCACCTCAGGGCGACTCGTGTCCCCCTGGCAGGATGGAAACAATAACAATGCCAAGAGACGGCTCAGGCGACGGTAAATAAATTTTTCTCTCGTCATTCTTTCATTTATTATAATCATGCTCATCTTCTATTTGTGATAATGTTTTTTCTAGGTATTTTGACAGAAAAGTTTTTTTTGAAGATTATTTAAAAAATCTCTCAACAAGAGACTGCAAAAATTATTGATAAGTTTAAATTATTTTCGAATAATTAATCTTTTACTAATTACAAAATGAATTTTCCAAAATTGTTATAAATTTCTAGATGTTTATAATCTTATTAAATATCGATTCCACGTAAAAAAAAGATTTTAAAGGAGGCGAATATAAAAAAAACCATTTATTTAACATTTTTATTAACCAAGTTTCAAATTAATTATTCGTTGTATTAATTATTTATGTAAGTGTTAATGAGGAATAAAAAAGCTCAGTCGATTACGAAACGAAATTTATCTAAAAATCGAGTGATTCAACGTGGAAAAAACGTTGAGAGATTTTTTGCATGGCATCCACCGGAAAAAGCCGTCTCGAATGTTCACCAGAATAATCGCCCAATCCGAAAAAATGTTGTATTCCACTAGTTTACGACGATTTGACGGCGCTAACTCTTCCTTACACATTTGCATGCATCATTTTACCGGCAGAATTGTTATTATATTGCTGCAAGTGGAGTGCGATAAGCCCTGCCGAGTAATTCCGACTCGATAATATAGTAGTTTGAACTTGACTTTGACTACATGTGGATTGTGGTATTGAAAGGAACTCATGGATGATTGTCAAGGAATTATCCAGGAAATGCAGGATTTGTTTGCTTGTTGCAGGCTCAGTTTCAATGCAGACAGGATGGCCAATACGAATCGTCAGGTGAACGGTTATGAGGACGATAACGATGATGAGACTAAGAGTGAATTAAAAACAGGTAATTCTGAGAGATCGTTTCAATCCGTTTTTTTTTTCAATTGTCATCATTACTTTCGCTTTTTCTATCTACTTTACTCTTTTTTATTGCAGCAGAAATTACAACATGGGACGATGAGACGAATAATTCAGACAGTGACGTGAGGTCTAAGTAAATGCATTTTTTGTTTCTTTGATTATAAGAATTAAATCATTTCTTGTGACTCTTTCTGTCAAAGAAATGTGTTGTTTAGCAGAAATTTATTACATTTTGTATTATTTATTTATCATCAGGAGACGAATGTTTAAGTATTTTGAATTTTCAAAGTATTGAGTGGAAATAATTTAATTTAATGAATGGTAAAGTATCACGGAATGTCAGAAGAATGTCAAGATATTGAATATTCAATGACTGACTCATAAGTAATTTTTTAGTGTTGTACTAGACTCTTTCTGTAATACTTTTTTCTTGAAGAAAAAATTAAAGTATACGACTCTAGAGAAATCGCGATGGTTCTCTTAAAGTTATCGAATTAGGTAATAATTTAATTGATTAAGCGATTATTTTATCGAAGGTGCGACGAAGCGTTCAGCGAGGGATCGACTACTTCATCAGCGTACAAAGACGGGGATAATAACACTGAAGTTGAACTTCGAGTGCGAGTCCGCCGATTTGACGAGGAAAATGCAGTTCTTCGAGATGAGTTGGTTCGAACCGAGGAATTGGCCAATGAGTACCAGCGACAGTTACACCTGTTCCAACAGAGATTGTAATTAATAATCGATGGATAACATCATTACCTGCTTATTTACAACTGCACTTAGAACTTTTTTTTGAATTCCGTTTGATTTTTTAATTTACGGAGGTTCTATACCCCTTCGATTAAAATTCACGTTTTTTCATTTTTTTCTGGAAAATTTACGGTGGGATTTCCCTTTGATTGAACATCCTTAATTATTCCTAATTATTTTTTTCGGAATTGTTTATGATTTTTTATCAAGTACAGAACCAGTGCAATTTCAAAAGATTTCGTAACTGTAAATTAAAAATTCCGAATTTCGAAAATGAGAATCGGCCAAGTTAATTTCCATTATTATTTCAGTTTGTCTCATAATTTTTATAGATTGTGGATTGAAAACAATTCATCAATAATTTTATTCAACCTCTCTTTTTTCGAGACAATCTGTTTAATTTTTTGTGATTGAGAGAAAGAAACTATTGGAATCTGCGAGAACAAGTGGTTTCGACAAGAAATACCGTTAGATTCATTTTCCAAGAATTCATCTCGACAAGAAGCTCACAAGATAATCACAAGATAAAAAACACGATTAGCATAAAATATTCGACTTTACTGGGAATTTTCCAGGGATCAAATGCGAGAGAGATGCGACCAATTATTGAAGGAAAATGACGAGCAGAAGGAGAAGATAAATATGGTGGAGGCGCAAGAAAGGCGATGTCAAGTGGCACTGCAGAAAATGGATAAAGAGCGTAATGCACTTCTTGAAAAACTTGAGATCGATGTGCGTGAATATTTCTATATCGCTATCTATTTATTTCAATATGCAAGTCGATTATTGTCTTGCAGAAAGAAACTTTCAATCGCAGCCTCGACGAGTTGAATCGAGATAAACTCTACTGTAATAAGAGACTGTCAGTGTGTGAGTCTAAATTAGAGGAGAAGGAGATTCTATGTGTGACCCTGCAGCATAATCTTGATGAGATTAAGGACTCCATTGCCAGTTTGGAGGACGACTATGAGAAGAGGATTCGCGTAAGCCACAATATTACATCAATTTTTTTATGGACATTTTTCTTTCCAAAGTCAAAAGAACCAAATTATCTGCAGGATTTTTTCGAAGGAAAGGAAAAGATGCAAAAATTGAATCGATTTCTTCAACACCTGAACAAAATTTTATCGGAAACGTTTTGTAGATATATTTTCTGTTTATTTTTCAGTATATGCAGGACAAGAGTGACGACTTGACGAGTGAGAACATCGAGCTGAAGATGAGGCTGTTGAACCTCGACTGCCCACCCTCTCTGGACCAAGAGGTAACTTATCCCACTCAAAAATAGACTCAATGGAGATAATAAAAAATTTATACACTCCCAGGTTTGCCTGACTTCGACGAGGTATTTGAATTCCAGTGACGATAATCTGAAGTATCAAACTGACCAAAAAGTGCAACTGGAGGAGTCGTTGTACGCAGAGTTGAAGGCCTCAGTGGGTTAATCGTGATAATTTAACGAGTTGATACTTCCAATGAAGTCGAGAATGCATTTGTCTTTTATTTTCTAGGGGTTTTCCTTCTACGACATGAAGTGTGAATCGAAAATTCAAGAGTTGGAGTTCGAAGCAGATTGGTGCAACAGTGAAATCAGGGAGGCTGCGAGACAAATGGACAAGTATGAAAGATTTTTTTTTGTTTCGATATTCTATGTTAAAGAATTTCCTGAAGTTCTGTGCTCGGAAAATTCTAGAATCATCAGTTATATGAGGAAAACTCGACTAAGTTGTTTATAGAGTTTTAAATCATTTTGTAAATTCAACAAAATTGAGGAAAATTAATTTCCAGAATCATCGACTTGATAAGGAAAACTAAGAGATGTGACCTTCCAGGGAAATCCCCTCAGTCTCCGAATAATTCAGACCTGGAGATCTCGCCAATTCTCCAGATATTTGAAAGAATAAAGCAGCTGTCCTACGAGGTGAGCCCAAAAAAAAATTGTCTCCACGATGTCCAGTGATCCACGTCACAGATAAAAACTACTTTATTGTTATGATAATACTGCCAGCTCTCCGTGCATCATTCAGTTTCTTTCCAGGTGTCAGAAGCACTGAGGAAGCCATCAACGACCAATTCAAGTTCACAGGTCTCAGCCGATCCTCAAATTACCAGTGAATACTTCAAGGAGTTTTCCATCCGCACATTCAACGACTTCTTGCATTCGCCGTGAGTAATTCATTCACAAATTTTTGTAACAAAGCTGGAAAGTAACATATATCGAATACAATATTTTTTTAATTATCGATTTATCGGAAAAACTATTGATTTTAAAAGGAAATATTAAGAGGAATTTTTCCTTGATAATTGAATAAGCTACGAAAAAGTCTTCTATCATTTCTCCATGGAAATGCCTATCTTTTAGATAAATCGATATGAGAAAAAAATTAAAAACTCGATTTGTATGAATTTGCAACTGATTTCTCTGAAATTAATGACATTATTGCGGGTAATTGGCAATGATGATTAATTAATGAAGTGAGCATTCAGATGATGAACGAATATCTATATTGTATCAAAAATAGAGACAGGTTGTGCCAATCTCAGTTGCAAGGCCATGTGAGTTACGCGACGTATAAATAGAGACTTCGCTGTCCTTCGAGAATTGCCGGGTTATACCGAGTCATAAGGCTGACACAATTTTCGGGAAAAATCACCAGAACTTTCCATTATTCCTCCTTCATGCATTCGCTCAGTGGAATCGTAAAGAGCAACGGAGACAAACAAGTTTACTCTTTCCCGATTCTCGGTAGAATTTGTTAGAATAAAATATAAACATCATACCTTTTCAAATCAATTGAATCTGTTTGCAAAACCCCTAGAGCTATACTTTCCATTAAAGAATGATTATTACCAATTAAATCAGGACGAAACGTTTAAAATGATCGATATATCTTGAAAACTGTCGATGTATGGAAAAACATTAAATTAATTTTTGATGCTGATTCAATTTTCAATAAAAAAAAATCCTTCAATGTCTCTTAGAATAATTACTTTTATTGATAAATCGGTATTTGGTGAACAAAGTTACTAGAATCTTATTTTTCAATTGAATTTTTTCATACGTGACAAGATAACCGAGCAGAATGATAAAGGAATATCATTTATTTAATATTCTATACAAACATTAGGATTTTTCCGTTCTCGTGAGTATTCCACAATAGGATGTTTTGCCTTCAAAATACGATATATCAGAAAAAAATCCCACTGATGTTCGTGTTTCGTTTCGTATGCGATCTCTCCTCGACTCGACAACAATAAAATAACTAATGAAGCCATAATCAGTCAGCTAAACAAATAGATTTTTATGATGCGATTATTTAGGAATTCTCTGCACATAATTCTCAATTCTATATTTCTAAGTTATCCGCTATCTCGAAACCTATCAATTTATGATGGAAACATTGGAGTACTTTTTTGTAGCTGATTAAATTACCAACAAAAAAGATCTCTTGATATTTTTTTTTTTAATCAATACTTTTCTTGATCAACCGATATTTAATGAAGTTGGAAAATCGGAATTATCTGCTGTTACAATTATGATCTGAATTCCATTGAGCATTTCAATGATTCTAAAAAAAAATGACTCGTGCAGCTTCCCTGCAATCCGAGGAGATAAAAACCCATCAATCCATAATGGCAAATGAACCTCAGGAATTTCATTTCACGTCAAAGTGGTTATCCTCGACTATGACCCTGATGCTCCAATCTGTTCCATACCTCTTCGCGCCCCTCGTAATTGGGTTAATATCAATGTTAACCAGATGTGGACACAACTATTCAACACTGTCCCAACGATCTAACAACTCTAATGCGTCTAACAAACGTCTCCACGACTAAAAAAAAATTGTAAAAAATAAAAATGATGACAAAAGCATTATAATTCCTCCCGTTAATCGATCGTAAATTTGTCAGAAAAATGAGAAAAAAAGGGTGAATGTAGAAGGAAAGGGTGTATAACATCCCTAATTTCTAAAAAGACCGGAGAGACTAGCTAATACTAAAGATGTTGGATGGTAGAGTCATAGGTTCCGCTATGAGCCCAAATTAAAGTAAATTTCATCATGGTGTGCCGAAAAGTGACTTTCCCGCACATTGCGAAGAAAAATATCGCAACTCGTGCAGAAAGGTGTTTCTGGCACGTGGGATTATACCACTCGCCTTCGGCTTGTCCTGTAAATCTCCCACACTCCAAAAATCACTTTTCCGCACTTGTTACGAAATATACTTTTTCTGTGAGTGTAAAAAAATGATATCTACCGAAAATGGTTAAATATCCTTAAACAATTGGCTTCCTTGATTGTCCGTTCCGCTCTTACCATAATTTCGCTGTCTGTCGTTCACCTTGACAATTTGATCTGTCTCGGTCATGCCGTCGAGACAGTCTCGGGAATGGTAACACCTCCTGCGAAACTCGTTCACATATTTTTTTCATTACTCATTTCTTCATGTTCCAGTCGCTGCATTAATCCTCATCCACTCTACCTTTTCCGTCTTATTTGAAATCTCTTTTTGTTCTTAATCCCCCCACCCAGATCTGAAACACCAGTTATCTTGCGCTCATTCAGCGAGGGAATGGGAGAACATTGTCAAACCGGTGGAGGAAGAGTTGCTAGTTGCACGCGCCTCCAAGCAAATCAAAATTAACAAAATTCACAAACTAAAATTAAACTGGTGATTCGGATATATAAACTTGTGCTGATAATCTTCAATTCATATCAATCACCGACTGATTGTTAATGTGAGTACTTCCGAGACAGATATTAACTTGCCAACTGCAAACCCCGCTTCCTGATTGAACGTTCCACCGGGCAATTTGTTTATACAATTAACTCTCAAGGCCTCTGAACACCGACAAACTTGAAATTCCTTCTCCACACGGCTCTCACTGCATGTTTCGTACAAACATTTTTCTGGAAAATTCTTATGCAGATGAAAGATTTATTAAAAATTGGAAACAACCGTCTAGGGGCTGAGATAGCTCGTAATATGTAGTGAAAATTTTCGTTGACACATCAAATTATGTGTAAACTTTGATTAGAATGGCGGAGTATTAACGACGGGTTTGAGATATTTATGGATGTCATCACGTTTGCGGAAATCAACAATCGCTTTTTTATGGAGATGGCAATTTTTTTATAACAGGAGGAACGAGATTAAAGAGTTGGAAAATTTGTGAATTAACTGATTTCTTGGGAGTTGGATGCTGTTACAGAGGCTGAATGTATTTATAAAAAATCTAGCGCCATTCAAGTGAACTTCTGAGAATTTATGTGAAAAAGTTATAACAATACGACAAAAATTCGCGTTGCCAGTAAAATTTCAATTTCAAAAAATTTGCACAATTTCTTCTATAAATTACATTAAAAATCCATTAAAAAAAATGTTGAATAAAATGTTTAAAAAAGTCATACTAGTCTCTTGATACCGATTTTATAAAATTTGTTAGACAACGCACAATCAATTATTGTCATGTGCGAATTTTGGAAGCTTTTCGTAAAACATGAAAAAAATCCTAGATAACTTGGCAATTTTTTAGCAAAGATTTAACAGAACTCTGTCCAGCTCTGATTCCCCCAAATATCCAAGAAAACAATTTTCCCACGCACCGTTGATCCTCAATGCGAATTTATTTATCTTCTCCAGGATCAAGGTATGCCTCCCAGTGGAAATAAATACACCGAATGTATTTCTGACGTGTAAAGCGACCGAGATCAAGGATAAAGTTGAGTTGGTTGACGTTGGCCAGTTGGATAGAGATATTAAAAATAATGTGACAAATATCGAGGACCTAGGGTCAACGAACGGGTTTGGTTCAATGTCTGCAGTAGCATCTGCCCGGCACGAGGACATACCGTCATTTTTTCACGAGAAGATTGCACCAAAAATAAATTCATGCACTGTGGAAGGTAGCGCTATTACATTGGGTCAGGCAAATTCAATCCAGTGGGAAAGTGGACAATTGGCATTGGCTTCAGTATTGAAAAAACCATTGCAAGAGCAAGGTGAGGGCATCGATAAATCTGAGATGTCAACGGGCCAAAAAACCCCGAGGAGAAAGATATCGGTGTTTCATCGCTCCTTCGACATTGACACAGTATTCGAGGTCCAGGACGGTGGAGGTGTTGCTGAGTCTCACAAACTAAGTGAGAGAAACGATACCACCATTAATAATCAAATAGACAATTGTCCTCCACGGAATTCAAAAAGTGATGATAATGATAATGATAATGAGGGGCGCGTTGAGGCTATCACTGGATATCGAACAGCTGATATCAGTCAATCGTCGGACTCGTCGGCATGTTCTCCAGGAAAATTGGAGAGCTCGAGGGAGGAGGACATCAAGAAAGTTGGGAACAAGTTCTTGGGGAATGGGGATATCATTTTAGCCCCTCCTAGATTGTTTTTATTGGGGGCGGGGGGTCTGAATGCACCTGGGGTTAATGGGTCTGATAGGGATACGGGGGAGTGCGCAATTGCTGGGGGGGAGGGCAATGGATGCGGAGAAATTACTGGGGATGTGAAGACAGTTACACGCGTGATGTCGAGTGGCGAGGACAGCTCTGATTCAGAGTCCGATTCTACGGAGACTGATCGGACTTTTCATGGAGTTGACAGGGGGGGCTGGGGGGACAGGGGGTACAGGGGAAGTGAGAACATCATTGGCTTCAAAACACCGAGGGATAAAAAAGATGAGGTATTTCAGTTCTTTTTATTGATAGGACATTTTTATTTTTATATTTTAGTGAAGTGAAGTGTTTTACGAGTCAATCTGC